TGCAGATGTCTGCTAAAATTAAGTATCCATAGTGATATATTTCTATCTACAATATCATTTAAGTGCTTTTTGTATAAAATTTATCAGTGCTTGCAGCTCTGATTTTGCTCTGCTGGTGAATTTTTTATAACGTTGTGTATTGCAAAATGGTATCGTCTTCTGGAAGCTTTTATCAGATTCCCATGGTGATGTGCTAGACATTGGCAAGGAGCAGCTCAAATTAAAATTTCATCATCTTCCAAGGCTACTTTTATGAGCTATCAGAGAGCACCTGCCTGACCCGGGTGGGTACCATAAAACAGAGAGGAGGCATGAGGCTTTTCTTGCAGAAGTTGAGAGTCTATGTAATACACATGAAGAATATGCAAAGCAAAGATTATGCCATTTTTATATTCATGGAGTACTTCAAATACTGAAACTTTTGGCAACATACTTGAAGCGATTACAGATTCAAAACAGCATCAATATAATAAAGTCACCACTACAATATATTAATGTCTTGCAAGGTTTGTGAGAATTCTTAGGAGTCACACTTTTGATGCCTGGCTTATACTGTGCATTGGCCCTATGCTCTCTGACATACTTGTGAAGCAAAAATGATCAATTTTAACAAGCATGTGATCTTGCTTTGCACAGACTTGGCATTATTCTGAGCTTCTTACCTTCAGCTTTGCAAGGTGCATTCCCTATACCCGTTATCCACACCTCTGCCCTCAGTATTTCTTTTGATAGGCCTCCCTGTAGGAAAAAAGATCAAGAGCCCACACAGGACCCTGTTAACATAGTGTAGTGATTTCACATAGCAATGATTTACCAGGTCAAAACATAAGAAGAGCATCCCCATACCTGGAACAGTACCAGGGGGATAGGCAGTGGAAATGTTGCAGGCCAGCTGGGTTCTGGCTGGGTTTTGGCTGGATTTTGGCTAGGTTCTGGCTCAGAATTGGGCATTGGCAGCCAGGCTCTTGCAAGGCAAAGGAACTAAAAGTGCTCCCTGTCAATGTGGAGGCCAGAACCAGGCTCCGTGCTTTAAGGGCCAAGCAAGGGACACTGAACAAAACGATTTCTAACCCTGCAGTGGAAAATAGGGCTTTATCAGGGTCCGTTGACCTAGAAAGTCTGGAAAGCCACAGCCTCAAGTAGGAAGTGAATGAAATTCTTGCTGCTTGGTAACCAGATCTGTAATAGTTTCATTGTTCCCATAGGATAAGAACTACAAATAAGACCTAGTTCTGGACTTAGTGCCAGGAGTCCAGATGGCAGTAACCACAAAACCGCTAGGGAAGAACAGAAGGAGGAAGGGAGGGGAAGGAGGAGGGAGGGAGGGAGGGAGGGAAGGAGGGAGGGAGGGAGGGAGGGAGGGAGGGAGGGAGGGAGGGAGGGAAAGGAGGAGGGAGGGAAAGGATGAGGGAGGGAGGGGGGAGGCGAAAGAAATCAGCTGTCAGCCTAATTACTAGTATGGTTCCTTCATTGGTCATCTCTTTCTCTTCTTTTCCCTTGGTATCCTGCAGTTTCACTTGAAAGTGCTTGGGTATAAATTTAACCTTGTTAATTGTGTTCAGAACTCATTGCACACTTTCTGCCTAAAGAATCATATCTGTTTTTAGAATATTTGCTTAAATATTTCCTCCTTACCAGTTCACCATTCTCTTTTTCTGGAACTTGTGCTGATTGTTGGAACTTTACGATCTCTTTTTCCATATCCCTTTACTGCTCTAACTACCCTGTTTCCCCGAAAATAAGACAGTGTCTTATATTAATTTTTGCTTCCAAAGATGCGCTAGGTCTTATTTTCAGGGGATGTCTTATTTTTCCATGAAGAAGAATATGGTACACATTTATTGTTAAATGAAAATAAAGGAAATTTATTACCTGTATAAGGTACGGTAGTACAGTAGTTGTCAACACAAACCAGACAAACTGTGAATCCTACAGTATCAAGAATTTACTCATTTATTCAATGACAATCATGTCATCATCTTCTGGAACAAAATCATAACAATCCAATTCCTGAATTTCCTGGTGAATTTCTTGTGACTCCATTTCTTTCAGAATCAGTGGACTAAATCTCTCATGTTTAGCCTGGGGAGGGGCTTATTTTCAGGGGGATGCCTTATATTTCACTCAGAAGGAAACCTGTAAGTAGGTTTTATTTTTGGAGGATGTCTTATTTTCGGGAAACACGGTATCTACCTATCATCTCTAATCTTTCTAAATTACATTATTGGTCAGTTCTTCCTGACTACTTTCTAATTCACAAATTTTCTCTTTAAATCTATTTATTTCTGAAATTTTTATTTTGAACACCATATTTTTCATTTTTAAGATTTCTAATTAATTCTTTTTTTAAATATCCTTATGTTCTTGTTACATGTTTTTATTTCATCATTTTCTGTCCTTTTTTTAAAGAAGAAAGCTATCCAATCTTTTATTTTTTTCAACATCCTAAACCTACTTATTTTAAAGTCATTGTCAGGCGGTTTCTTGAAGCCATCTGGAATGAGTTAATGTTCCAACAGCAGATTTTTCTACCTATCTTTTGTGATTTTAGGTTTTCTTTTTTATGTGCTTACAATATTTGGCCCATAGGCTCATTTTGAGTAGGAGATTCATTCTTACTTTCACATTTTAGTGTAAGGCAAAAACATTAATAAAAACAGCAACCACATACAAATAAAGGGAACTAGCTACCAAGATGATATTTTATAGAAATGTTAGTAAGATTGCATATTATAAACTACAAATAAAGGAAGAGAGATGCAATCATTTGTCAGCTACGTGGGGCCTAGTGCTTACCATGAGACAGTAGATGCTTCAATTCATACAGTAGATGCTTCAATTCATAAAATAATTAAAGAATCTTGGCATTCGTTTGCGGAAGACTTCAGCTTGAATTGTTTGAATATAATGAGCAATCTATTTTGAGCTACCCAAATTAAGAATCTCTGATATGAAATTGCATTAGATCACATTGTGGCATCACAGAGGTAAACTATGCAAGAAACTTCTAGTCAGAAGTGTAAAATTAGAATCCCAGGTAAAAGTTCTATCTTGTATTTTATTTCTAACCAATCGCATTAAAGAAATGGTCCTACTTGACCTCTTTTTCCTCACTATTCCTTCAACTAATCACTGAACAAGGTCCTCATAATTGATGACTGTATAAAATATACACACAAAACTTTTTGTCAAGATAGACACTCATAAAATGTCCCACTTGTATAAAATTTAGTGTATCCCAGGTTTCTTATGTAACTTCCATTGGAGCTAACCTCTGCTTACAGACAGACATTCTTTGTGCTAATGTTCCAGACATCATATGTAGAAGGAAGGAAAATGATGATTAGCCAAAAAAACTATAATTATGAGACCTAGTGACTGATAATGTATTCCACTTTTACCTTTGCTGATGTTTTTACAGAACTGGGCTGGGCTCAGTGTTTTTACACTAGAATCTGCAGACATTTATCCACCCAATAAAATAACCACACAATCTGGCCAAATTCTGCATACTTGGCAGCCCTTCCCACCCCAAAGCCTGGAACAGCATTGGCCCAGCAGGTGTGGCTTCAGAAAGGCCGGAGAGCAAAGTTCGGGAAACCTGCCTAGCACTGGGAGGGGATGGGGGAATGTAGAGGGGGGAAGAGGGAAGCGGTGTGCTTTCCTGAAAACCATGCTAGATATGATACCACAGCTTTTTAGCAGCCCACAGAGCTTTATTCATTCACAACAAATAATGAAAACCACAGTAACTGAGGAATTGACACTAGAGACCAAAAATTACAATTAATTACATTTCTTCTTAATAAGAGATGCCATGTATTTATAAAGATTTTTTTGACATTTAGAATATATATACTACATAGCATTTGACCCTATTGAACACATGAGAAACCTTCTCTTCCCCTTTTAACCAAAGTAGCCCCTTTTCTTCTTAAAGGGTAAGATAGAAGAGTAGAACTCTCGACAATCTGGACCTTAGGAAGGAGGAAAGGAAAAATGTTTTCTCATATCATATATTTTTTTCCATAAGATGCTCTTTAATTTGTAGGACCCAGTTAGTGAGACCAGATTTCCTGGGCCCTACAGTCAGAATCGGCTGCATATATAGAACACTCCCTCTACATAAATACTAAGAGAACTTAAGTATAAAAAGGTGATTGTAAAACAACACAGCATAGCAAAGCCTTATGCCAAAGATAAAACCATTAACACCAGGGGAAACTGAAGCGGGGAGGGGAACTGGATGGTGCCTGTCAGAGCAGAATACTGTAAGAGCAGCTGTGTAGACACTTGTCCCATTCAGCTTCCCAAGACGCTGGAAGGTCACTCGCTGATGGTCTGGGTTCCTGTGTGAGTGGCCAGGAGCACTTTCCTGCAACCCCTCATCCTTAAATGGCTGAGCTGGAGGCAGACAAATGTGTGGGTCTTTACAGCTTCCACTTGATCTTACACCTGAGTCATCTTTTATTTATGTCCTCCTGTGGCACGGAATAGTTGTGGCAGCACCATTCATCAGCCTAATGGGCTCAACTGGAAAGCTCTCAAATCCCCTGGGATGTGCCTTGCTCTAAGAAAAGAATTGTTAACAGGGCTTCTTAAACTAGGAATTTGTGTCTTCCCATAAATTGACCTTGTGAGGTTATTTGTGGATCCCAATAGGGAACTGGTCTTCTTAGGCCCCTGCAGCTCCTCAACCCTCCCCACCCTCACCTTAGCCAGAGGATGCTTGTGACAGAGCTAAGACTTCAGGCCTCTGGGCAATGCAGAGATGCCATTTCCTCACCAGAACCACCTCTCTGAAAGGCTCTGACCAGACGTGCCCCTGACCAGTGGGACAGGACTGTGTGAGGGGAAAGAAAGTGTGCTCATGAAATCTACAGGTTCTCGACATCTTAGTCGTGCTCCAATAATTAAGCATCAGTTTTTCTTGCACCATGTGGCGTTTGACAAGGCACTTGCCGAGCTACGGAATCTCATGGCGGTGTTTTCTCTTCTAGGATATCAATGAGTGCATTCTCGAAAACTATCCTGAGTGTTCCAACCCCCGGCTGTTTTACATCATCCCGTACTTCTGTGGACAGCATCCCAGATGCAGGTAAAGACCAGAGCTCATGGCATGCTCCTGGGGAGAAACAGGGGCACCATCTCTCATCTCTCAATCTCCTCGAATTCAATTAATAAGGATTTTGAAGACCTCATTTGAGACTCCAAATGTTGTGCAAAATATAATAATAATAATAATAATAATAATAATAATAACAAGTTCTGACAGAGGTCTTGGGACAACCCCACTGGAATGCCAACCAAAATCTTTTTATTTTTATTTTTTATTTTTTTATAGTTAACACTGTGTTAGGCAGCTTAGATCTACAGAGGGCAATTCCTAGAAAGCACTTTGCTCTCTTTCTACTAAGTATGTCTTATGAGAGAGACACTATCACATTCTGGGTGTGAGCGTCCAGTGTTTCAGACCCAATTAGACATCAGGCCAAGAGAGCTATGGATGGGGTACAGTCACCATGGAGGGGCAGGCTGGTACTCACGGCTGGTTCTTATTATCTCGTGGCTCTATAGCAACAGCTGCCTAACACAATGTTAACTATAAAAAAATTTTAAAAATGTCACTTTGTTCCACCTTGACAACAATTATTTGAGCTAGGTAAGGGTTATTATTACAGTTTTTCAAAAGAGGATTTGGCATACTCCAACTCCCCCAAGTAGGAATGGCAGCCAGGCCTGGAGCTCAGTTCCCATGATCCCCTTTTTTCCTCATTCACATACCTGCTGTCCACTTGGAGATGTGCTCTATGAATGAGATTAGGGGCTTTTCCTTCTATAATTAAAAAAAAGTCTTAAACTCTTTTTAAAAAAATAAGATGATTAGTAGACATGGCCCGACCCCTATTCTGAATCCTACAGAAATACTATGTCAATGAGTTTCACATTTCAAAACTTCTATCTTTATTTCATTGATCCTGTTTGGTCCTCATATCAAAAAGCCATTCTAATCACCCCTTGGTCAATGTGTCTTAGGGCTAGGACCTAACTCCCTGTGCCGGTAGCCTTCTTCCAACAAAGTTCAAGGCCTTGAGCTAGGGGGTAGCCACTGCTGAGGGGGATAGCAGTGAGAACATGTTGGGGGCAAGGGCAAGCGTGCCAGCAGGAAGGAGCAGGGCATGCTGCTGGAGGTGCCTACATTAGGGCTGGTCCTTGAAGAAATGGGATGTGGGCTTAGGCAAAGGAGGGCGTGCGGGTAAAGAGACACCCTCTCAGTGTGTTGTTGCTGCATCTCAGAAATGAATGTCTGATTCGAAAACGATTGTTCTGTCCTTAAAGGGAGCCTGGTGAGTGGGCCCTGGAAAGAGCAAAACTGAACGTGAACGAAAACTTCCTGCTTGTGGGGATCCTTGAAGAGCTGGAAGATGTGCTGCTGTTACTGGAGAGATTTTTACCTCATTACTTCAAGGGTGTGCTCAGCATCTACAAAGACCCAGGTGAGTGTAAGCAAGTGCTCCCCTGTTTCTAGCATTAGTCACCTTGAAAAGGACTCTGGGAATAAAGGAGCGACGCCATCTCTTTTGTTAAGGAAGGTACGTCCCCCTGGCTCACAAAGCAAGGCTAGAGCCATCAGACACGAAAGCCCAAACTTTGAGCCTCGGGTCCAAACATAAACTTGCCATGTTTTCAAGGCTGATGGTCCATGTTTCCTGCCTTTGGAGCGGAAATTGGCACTATGTCCATCAGCCTTGTTGCTGATGAGCGTGTTGCTGGGTGAACGAATACATAGGTTTTGAGTGTCTGCCGTCCATTGATGGAAACATAGGGCGGTGAAGGGACCATCATGCAATGAGGCTCTGGCTCTGTTTCCCGTTGACAAAAGCACTCTGGTAAACAGAATCCCGGCAAATAGAATAGATAGAGCAGCAAATTGAAAATACAATTATGATTTTATCCTGGCGAATGCGGGGGTTTCCAAATAGAAGCAAGAAAGAGAACCAGCAAAGCAATTACGCAGGATGCCCACAGTATCACGATAAACTCAATTACTTTCAGAAATCCATTCACTTCTGTCATTATTATTTTACTCTGAGAGGAAAGACAAACGAGATTGTTTGTTTCCTTCCTGTTCTCCTAAGCCTTGCATGTTTACTCACTCATCTGTTTATTGTTTCGTTCTGTCATCTGAAACGGGAGGCAGCATTCTGCCTTGGAGAAGTGAGGAGCAGCCAAAAGGCCCTCCAAACAGAGCCCGCTGCCTCATTCCCCAGCCAGGCAGCAGCCTCACACTAACCTGCATCCTTGGCAGGTACCCAGGCCCTGGTAAACTGGTCTTTGCCTGGAGGAGCCCTGGATTCTGTCCTATAAGGTGCCCTCCCAGTGTTGTGCTGGAGGAAGATGGCTGGGGATGCCAGCTCATTCTCCCAGCACTCTCATCCAGAGATAAATTCCCACGTACCTAGAGGCAGGGCCATGACTGACAACCTCAAGTTGTCAGCAGGAATTGTGGTTTGAGAAAGCAGATGCATAATAAACCCTAAAGAGTTGGTTTGGGAAACTAGGTCCTCCTTTGTCCTTTTAACAATGGACAATTTAAAGAGTTTAAAAAACCTAATGTGGTCAGTTTTTAGTTCTGTAAGACAAGAGATGCTCTGGTCTTTATGCAAAGTGTGATCTTAGCTTAAATGAGACTCTTTTGATGAAAAAAGGTTTATATTGTTCTTTGTTATTTTACCTCTTTGGCTTGATCTTGTATGGCATAAAAGCATGCACGTTGCGTGTGTGTGTGTGTGTGTGTGTGTGTGTGTGTATGTGTGTGTGTGAAACATAGGATGAGATAAAAGACTGACTGAATCCTGGAGACACCTAGTCATCAAATAATATGAATAAGTCTTGTCCCAGCATCTGGGAAGAATATCAGTGTATCAGTGAGCCCACTTCAACATGTCATCAATCCGGGATTGAGAACTAACACTAATTCCGATCCCAGATGCCACACTCAGCACATCGAAGGTCAGCGTCGGCGGTGTGGGCCTGAGGACTTAGGAGAGGACATTTTTATCTTTGTTCTTCTTAAGCACAAATACACCACAACAAAAGGCTTGCCCCAAAGAGCCCACTTAACTGCTGTTGTCAGGTTTGACGTCCCAACTGTTTGCTTCATTTAAATGCATGACTTCTCAGAAACTGTGGGCCGTGGACCCATGACTGTAGGCATGTTAATTAAAGGAGAACGTATTTCTGAAAATTGAATTACCGTTAGTTTGTTTGCCTTCAGCCACAATCTTTCCACCTATAAATTAAAGCTTTTTCCCTCTTTGAGTTTGGGATAGCAGTATATTAATACATTGAGGCGCCCTCCGAGAGGGAATAAGGGACATCTGGTCCCCTGTGTAATGGATAAGAGGTTTCTATGAACCCAGGGCCAGCACACACCCAGTTGACACAGTGTAGCTGTACTACTGGTTAAAATAGTGGAACACATCTCTACTGCCTTCTGCACCCACCTGCAGGTGAACTTACACTCCCTTTCCCCAAACAATGAAGTAATGAGAGGGTCTTCAGGACTCCGGCCTGAATTCGGTTCCTGAATTCTGGTTGTTCAATATTTTGAATGTCACCTCAGAATCATTCTTCAGCTGCCATATGTCATGTACACAACAAATGAACCTCTGAGCAATCTTCAGCAATGTTCACCGTTTCCTGTTCTGATGACATCCTAGGAGGTTTTTCTCTGCTGGCATTGAAGGCTACGCAGCTCCATAGTTGCTCTGTCCCAAGGACTCTCCACGTCCTCGAGGGACAGAGCAACAGATGAACATGCCCTCCTGGCCAGCTTCGCAATATGTTTTAGTTCTGCAAAGACTAAGCGCCTGCATTGCTTTCTCGTGGCCGCACCCCAGAGAGTTGGTGTCAAATCAGTTAAAAGAAGAGCCACAGTGAGGCCTAGGTGCATTTGTAGTCTAAAACCAGATTTTGGCACACTCAAATCATTGCTCTGGCCCTTTATGAAAGAATTTTTATAACTGAGTAATCTAGAGAACAAAGGGAAGGAAAACTAGAAGGTAAGACATTGAGGAACCTCGTGGCCTTTAAATCCTTGTAGATTACCTGCCTGTGGACTTGGACTAAGATGCAAACACCCTCCTCCCATCCCCCACCATTCTTCTTTGGTGTATTTCCTGTTATTTAAAAAAACTGCAGGTGTGCTCTGATTTTTAGTAATCCCCTTCCAGCAACATGAAAAAAATATTTATACCAGACCCGTTGCTAAGAAAACACATAAATAGCAATGACTCTTCGGGGAGCTGGTGAAAAAAAGTGATGTCTGTCATTCAACTGGGTTGTCACTTACTCCGGATTAGACTGATTTTCATTAATTCTTTCCAATCCGTATGACTTGTTCCAATACCTGCCCTTTAAAGAAGCTAATAACTTTAAATAGCAGCTTGCCTATTTCTTGTAGGCAGGTATGCTGACAAGCACATTTGTTTTCTACCTAACGTATGTATTCGAGAAACTTAATTTTTAGAACATTTTTGTTCGAGTTATTTGACAGTCAAGTTGCATTTTGTGGAGACCTGGTTGGCATATCTCAGTTTATGTAAGTACTCAAGGTGAAATGAAAGTGAAAGTTTTAGCCTGAGGGTAACGAAGAGAATAGGCTCGGGTGTTTCATACCTTCCAGGGGAAGTTGCTGATATTGTTGCAAGTGTCTTGGGTGAGTGTTCAGTGAACTCCACCCCACCTGGTCATCAGTCTGAATTAGGGAGAACCGAGGCCCACACAGATTGACTGGGTAAGAGCAATACAGTCTTATTTCTAATTGATTAAGCTTGGTTATATTTGCTTATGGCTCTTTCAAAAGGAGAAACTGAAGCCAGCCCAAAGAATTTGAGAGACTGATCCATAGTCAACCACCAAAATGTGAAAGAGGCAGAACTCCTATTTCTGAGCCATGAGTGTTAACGAGTTCCTGTATATTTTTCCTCCTCAGATCTTAAAAAACGACACACTGTAAGCTATCAATATTTTTCTTAGTCATCATTTCCTTTGGAGCTAAAATCACAGTGGTGTTAAAGGTCAAAATAAATAAACACATTGAAGACAGAGAGCATGTGAATATTTGTGGTAGGATCAATCATTATGTAAACGTCCCTCGTATAAACCTTTGACTTGGCAAATAACTGAGCTGTTATGGTTCAATATTGCCCTCTAGCATCCAGACATGGAACTATATGACCTAATATTAACCCATTACTTTCCATTCGCAGCATTACGTTAATATTCATTCTCAGCCCATTTTCATTTCAAATGTCAACATTGGAGCCATAGCAGGGACTTCTAGACTTTTTTTGTGTGTGTGTGAGCTACTCTGAAAATCTGGCCACCAACTATTACAGAAGAAAAACGTGTAATTCCAAACAAATGACTAATTTTGACCACTTGAGTTCATTCATAAAGTGGACGTTTTCTTTTTAAAATATTTTTACTTAAATATTTTTATAAACAATGATGATAGGGTACAAATTTAAATATTATCCTCTTACTCAGCATGAATGATACTCAGACCTCCCATTAGGAGCATTTAAATCGAAGACATTGACAGAAAATAATAGCAAGTAAGGGGAAGAGAAATTTTAATAAGATATTCCATGGGAAAAATACAGGTTCTCAACAATTAATAAAAATCTTAGTAAGTTAAGAAAAAAATCTTACGTGATTAAATCTTGGCCTGTGTATCATAAAGAACAGTTCTTCTTTAAGAAAATAGCAGTGAGCTGGGAGTTAGAAGAGGCTTCTAATCCTCTTTCTGCTACGGGTTCTGCCCATATGATCCTGAGCAAGTGTAGTTTTGGGCGGATGATCTCTAAGGTTTGTATTATTAAAAAACTAGAGTGTCATATAGAATGTTTTAAGGTTGCTTTTCTACCTTTCGTTTTTAGCACAATTATAGGGTGCTCGCCCCACCCCACCCCCCCAAAAAAACCAAAACCAAAACAAAACACCACACAGCTTTGAACATTCCCCATTGCCTTACTTGTTCATTTCCAGGTTTAGTTATGGAGACTATCGCCACCTAGAGGATGACACATCGGCTGGAGAGTTATTCCTTCAGAACCGGTTTCTCCCTGTGACAAGTGATCAAGACAGGGATCCCAATTCAAAATCTCTGGTCACAATGGCCAGCCCTTCCTCTATATACCTTATGCATTTTTGTCAAGAAGACGGGATATCGTAATGATCAGAGCACAGACTCTCAAGTCGACAGCCTCGGTGCTACAGCTTTTCCTTCACGCGGCACCTGTATAATCAGAGGCAAGCTATCAGCCCTTTAAACCTGTTTCCCCAGCTGTATAATACACATAAACAGTACTGTCGACTTCACAGGGTTGTTGGGAGATGTGCCTGATCAAATCCATGTGAACCCCTTAACCCAGAACTTCGCATATGATAAGGATTCAATAATTACCTATTGGCCTGCCAGTCACATCAA